AGTGAAGTCAGATACATGCTGCTGTAGGTCTGGATGTCCTTTTTTAATACACTGAAATGTTGGGATTGGCAAACTGCTCTTTGGTATTGTCTGTGTGTCCACTGCCTCTTTTCCCCCATTAACTGACTCCACATCTGTTTCCCCCATTCCAGTCTGGCTTTAAAGTCCCTGAAGGTGCCATTAAATTAGAGCCAGCACAGGTTTATAAATGTAAAATCCTCCAATAATCTTGCTCTGACATGACCCCTAATCTTCTCTCTGTGCTGGTGAATGGGTTGAACGGTGCTAACTAACACTGACACGTTTGGGACACTGTTTTAAGAGCTGGAGGTGCAGACAGAGAGGAGATTTTTACTGGAGACACCCCAGATCTGAGGCATGGAGCTGGGTCAGTGATCCTAGTTACTATAAAACAAACAAAACAACTTAGTTTTGGGTGTATTAATGGGAGGTGACATGTTTAACTACCCATGTACAACCATATTTTAACCCAGTCCTAAAATAACCTGCTGCTTCTATCGCTACATGTGTATCAACAATATCCTTCACTGTAAAACCTTAGGGGAATAGAGTCTGTGTATAGAGGACAGAGAAGAACAGCGACAGAAAACTACGTCTCTGGGCTCCCGAGGAGGGGGCTCTCTAAACTAGCCTGTCTAATGCAATTAATCTAATTGGTGCTGGCGTAAAGTGACAAATGACTACCTTTCACGCCAGGGACAGAAAAACCTCTGGAGATAGATTTGAGACGGGATTCCCTGCAGTTAATAGCATATCAGCGGTTCCATCTTAAGTGTTGTACAAAGTGGTTATTACATTAAATCCATTATCGTTGTTTCTTTGTACGAGCTGTATATTATGCTACTCAATTCGATTTATTTTCACTGATCATTAATACATACCTCTGTGTGCCTTGCAGTCATGCCACGATATCAGTAGGTCTGCCATATTTGCTCGCATCTGCATGCATTTACACTTGACATTTGAGTTTTTGATTTAATCTCTCAACATATCTACATGAACTGTGCATATTTCAGGGAAATTGTGTTAATGCGTGCCCTTTTATATAACCCTGATTACTAGCTGCTGCATCAAAACCTTTTTGCGGACATTGATTTCCGCCTTGGGCCACGCGAGTGAACCTGCATTGGCGATCTCCGAGGATATAATGAACTTAAAGCGAGCTAGCTATTACTGGAACCTTTGACATTTTGACATTATCAAATGCCTCGCTTGAACCATACACAGAAATAAATTCCTCTTTTCATATACATGCTATTTGCATGCATTTCAGGAAGTGGAGGTTTCACATAGGTTTTCATTTGATGTATTGCACCAGACAGAAAATAGCTCAAACGCTTCAGGAGTTTGAAGTGGAAACACTTTGTGAAAATATCGTGTTGCTGTGAAACTCCTCGTTTGTGTTTTTTTTCTTTGCTGACAACCTTGAACCCTGAACCCAATAATTGTTCAAAATTGTAACCTCTGAACTTTGGAGCCTGTAAAATAACAACCCAAAAAGAATCCAGCGGAGGAATGTTGTTCTGTTCCCAGGGCAGGTACAAACACGACTCTAGTGAGGCGTCCAAAACTTCCCCAAAACATGGTTCAAGTTCCCCACAGACCCCCCACTCTCCTTGGCACACCTCCTCGGGACCTTATTCATGTTGTTTTCCATAATGTTACAGTCTTTACCTCTCACTTCATCCTTTTCCTCTTTAGATTCCCAGAGTCCATCCCCCTCCATCACCTGTGCCCCCGCCTGTGCCCCCCCCCCAGTCTCTCTCTGTCTGGAAAGGAAGCAGTGGCCATTAAACGTGTCTGCTGGGGTCTGGGCTCAGCAGAACAACCGTCACATTGTATGACCCCGCCTTGGACCCCAGACAGACTAATGAATAAGGCTAACGTGGCCCCTCCTTCACACATCTCCACCCCCCCGTCCCTCAGCCCTGGCAAGCCCCCCAGTAGGTAATTCCCCCTCTCCTTTCACAGGGTCCCAGACATGTCCCGTGGTCTTTGACAGAGGGTTTATCTTTGCACTGGACAAATGTGTGTCATTTGAGGTTGCGCTACATGATCAGACCTAGAACGATCAGTTAGAGGCCCATATCGCACGATCGTTTCTGAGAATCTATACATGGTCACCTCCTGCACAGTGGGACATCTTCAGCCTTGAATGGTCGTGGAGAGTAAATGTAAAGAGAGGAAAAGACAGAGATCAAATGATGGAAGACAGGCAGAAGCTCCTGACACTGAGCGGACAAAAGACTGCGTGAAAACAGGATTATCACACACACAGGCCGCAGTGATGAGAACGCTTCAGACTGAAAACAACCTCTGATGCACAAATGAAGTGGTATTATTCCAAATGTATTAATATGCCCTCTCAGAAAACTCCTGAAGCACATGAGCAAATGAAAATAACAAACTAAAAGGATGAATTGAAGAGTTGACCATGAAGGATTCCAGCATGCAGGTCATCAGCATTATTAAGAAGTTTGTTATTCATGTGTGTCCTTCAGATCAGGGATCTCCGACCTACGACCGTCCCTTTTCAAGTAGCTCCCTAAAAGAAATAGAAAAAACAAACAATCTGCAAAACCTTTCCTGTTTCACAACTGTTGTAATCTGTACTAAATGTGGATAATGAATGGTTACAGCCAGATATTCAGATAAAACTCTCACATAATGTCATCTTTAATCAGTATAATGATTGAGTATCCCTACCATTGTATAAGCAGGGCAGGACCTGGTTAGTTGTGATGGGAGACCTCTGGAAACACCGGCTGCCACAGTGGGGTTTCTCTAAAGTGTCAAACTGTTGTTGTGTCCTACGGCAAGACACTTTATCCTCATTGCCTAGTGCAAGTCTGGTGTGTGAGAGAAATATTAGTGGTGGCCGAAGGGGCTGATGGCGCAGATTAGCTGCCTTGTTTCTGTCAGTCTGTCCCCAGGGCAGCTGTGGCTACAGTGGTAGTTTATCACCACTATGTACAGAGTGAATGAATAATGCCCTGTGAAGCGTCTTTGAGTGTCTGAAAAGAACTCTATGACGTGGATGCATTATTATTGGATATTGGAGACACCTCCTTTGGATAAAGTATAACTGTACTTTATTTTCTCAATAGTTTCTTTAAAGTTCAAGTGAAAGACTACAATAAATGTAGCACTTGGTAAAACACTTTTACACCCAGTGATATTTTTTATTCGGATAATCAGAAATAAGTAGAACATGGGTATGGTATGTCGGAGAATTATACATTTCCTGAGCACTAAATCTTGAAATGTTGGGCTATATGAGAATACGTAAACATGCAAGAGTCAATCGAAATGAAAACACTGTGAAAGATTATGATGGAACATTGTTATTTTGTGTTTTTATTTTCATCCCGAAAGTTTATTGTTTTCCCAACTCAAATGTCATCCTCTCCCAGCTCCCTCAGTCGGGGTCTATACCGAGATGACACCAAAGCAGCAAACAGTGCTTGTCTCAGAGGTGTCCTGTCTCCCTGGAGGTATAACAATGGTGACACGTGTATAGGCCCAGTGCATACAAATATTCCTCCTCCGCTGAATCCCGGGCTGGCCTCTCTATTCCCTGTCATGTTTGTCTTGCGTGGCGCCTTTACATCATGGACATCATTTCTCAACACTCAGCTCTTCAGAGTGCCCTCATTATTAGTCTCTCTGCCGCAGCTGTAAACGCCTAATGTATTCTGTGCACACTGCCAGTGACTGCTGCTATCAAAGGACTTGCCTGAACGGCGGTAATAACTGGAAAATTATTTCTGATAGCCTGAAACAATCTTCCAAATCATCACAGAACTTTATTAAAATAATATCAAATCAAATTAGCCGGCGTACCCCTGTAATGAATTAAGTAAAGGGTTATGCCAGAATTAATCCCATCATGCTCGGAGGCAGAAGGGAGAAGCGCTGGGACCGTTTAATAAACCAGTCAAGCCCCTCGGAGCGCCAGGGCTGGTCTAGGATCCCGCGTCCGCCCTCATGCCCGCTCCAGAGGCACAACACATCAAAAGGCATCCTCCTCCTCTCCTCCTCTGTCCTTTTATTCTCTCAATCCCACAATCCTTTTCTCTCCTCGCCTAAATAATCGGTCCCTTCGCTGCCCCCCCTATCTCCCCGCACTCCATTATGCCCGTGGCTCAGATTATTCATATGGGGTGAATCTTAGGAATCTCTCCGAAGGCGGTGATAACTGCTGCAGCCCGTTGGGAAGGCCGGCGCGGTATCTCTGCTGTCAGCCGCAAATCAAACGCGCTGCTTTTGAGGAAGATCGTTTTCCAAGAATGCTGCTTTTCAATTATAAAAGATAATTGGGATGATTTTCAATATTACCTGCTATATGAAGCAATGTCACATCAAAGCTTACACATGCAACTACAATGAATATATCCAATAACATTCCACTTATTGCAAAATGAGGCGTTCGATGGAAATGCATTGATCGACAGCTGGACGGGGAGGTCTGGCCGTTTCTGCTCAGACTGCTGCGCCCCACGACCCCGGCATTGGATAAAGCGGAAGAAATTGGTTGGTTCTGAAACTTGGTTGAAAAAAGAGGGGTGCTTGTGATCTCTGACCATTTTTTGGCTCTGGAGTGACATGAAGATGACTGTTTTCTGACTTAAAAACAAAACATATACTTTTTAATAATTATGCTATATAACCCCAGTTTAGTTTTCAGATGATAGTCTTACTGACGACTAGACCTGATACTGTTTTCATTTTCAAACTGATTCAAAAGGCTTCCCCCTATCGGCACACATCCTCTCACTCTTTTCAGTACTTCCAAATCCAAACTTTTGCGACACTGCTATACTCAACTACATCCTCCACCTCTTTGTACTCATTCCATATTTTGAGAACCTTGTTTCTCGCTCATAAACTCTGATTGATTCGACGCTTACAAACGCTAGACTCCACATGATGCGATCTCTTCTTCATTCCTTCCCCTGTCTGTTCGCCGCCTCTCACCCATGACCACTGGAGCTTTTAACTTTAACAACCTGCTCAGCCCGCACTGGTCCAAAGTCCTGTTCCGGGATGCTCAGGTCTGGGGGCGGGTCAGTGCCATGCGGGCGGACGACAGATACAATCTTGTGTAATTCTGCACAGAGGCGTCACTACTTGTATTTTGACCAGGCTTTTGTGCGTGCGCCCGGACGTGTTATGATATTCTCCCGTCTCAAATAGTGGCATGCTCAGAGGGGCACATGAAGATAACCCCAGCAGTCAGCCCATGCACCGCTCTCTCCATGTGTTTTCAATGTGTGAGAAAGTCTGTGTGAGAGAAGGAAGGAGGGGTCAGTGCTGGACCCCTCAGGAGGGTCTGTCTTGTGCCATCTGGCTCCTCAGAGGACTGAAGCAAGAGGGGGGCATGGACCCAAAGAGCGCATGAGAAGCTGATGCATTTTTCTATTTTAGCCTTTTCTCCAGTTAGAAGGAGATGGTCTTTTCTTCTCCAAAATCATCACAGTCAGTCAAGTATGCGAGAAACATATTTGAGAATGTTATTTTGTAGTAATGGCAAGTTTTGATGTAACTTGTTTTTGAAGCAAATTCACAAAAAAATGATTGTTACTGAAGAATATAAGTACACAAAATGCTTCCATGGGCTGGATTTTAGAAAGACATTATTATTAGCTTTTATTTGTTACTTTGGAGATTTCATTGTTGCAATGCACACTAGAGCAGTGGGATTAGAAAGCACAAAATAATCAAATATAAGAAATGCATCTGAAATCAATACTTGTTTTTAAACTTGTACCCATAAGTGACTGTCATTTTAGCATTGTAACTATAGTGCTGTTTCAGCTCCATTCTAGTTCACGGGACTGTGTGCTGAGATAGAGCTCAGAGAGTATGCGAATGGCCTTAAAACCTAATAATTTCACAGTTTAATTTGTCAAGTTTAATAATGAAAAAGAAATGTCAATTCTATCCAAGGGTTTAATTGATGTAATTACTTTTTCTTCTCTTTTGATTCACAGGCAAGGTCCAGTCAGAGATACTGCCCAGCCTTGACACATATGCACGCACACATGAATGCACGCATGTACGCACACACACACACACACACACACACACACACACACACACACACACACACACACACACACACACACACACGCACATGCACACGCACACGCACACGCACACGCACATGCACACAACACAAACAGAGGCTGCCTGGGATTGGGGGCATGGCAGGCGCTCCGTTAAATAATCACCACATATTTCCATTCATTGTGATGAGGATTTGTTGCTATAATAAGGCTGGCAAAATCATGAATATTCACACACACTTTAAGCAATTATGATAATCTACATTATTCCTGTAGCCGCCACAGCGCTATCTGTCAGAGGAGGCGGCTGCAGAGGCGAGAAAAGTAGGTTGGAGCAGTGTGCAGTTTTTACACAGCCCATATCAACTCTTCTGTACTTTTTGCTTTTGTTTCTTGTATTGTACATCCCTTTCTCTTCACTTGTGTTGCACGGAGCGGAGGGTGGGTCCCACAGAAGGAAGGCCCCTGGGTGCTTCAGCGCTGGCAGCAGTGTAGGTCTAATCTTCCGGGTCAGTCCTGGCGCTTTCATCTTCTCTCACTCCGAGCTCTGCGTGTTTGATGTGAACTTAGCCCAGGAATAACTCTTCCTTTCTTCTCGGCTAACCTGGCCCTGGAGAAGAGGCGAAAGCACTTTGTTGTTATCCTGGGAGCCAAACAATGCTGCAAGGAGGAAAAAAAAAACTAATGAAAGCCTTTTGATCCCCAGCGATATTACAGCGGGAACCTTGAGAGCAGAAGGCAGCAAATATATTTTTAAAAGAATGTGCCGAAATCGCAGAAATCGAAATGCAAATTGCCCTGGAATGTTTTGACGGATTTTCTTGGCTGTAATTCGCACCCTTTGAAATTAATTATTTCAGATTTGCCTGCATTTGTTTCAAGTTTGAAGAAGAAAGAAGAAAGGAGAAAGCTAATTTATTGTACAAGTGGAATCTAAATGAATGCAGAAAGCCTTACAGGGTTTTAGTCATTAATTTTCTCAGGTCTAAGTCCGCAAAAAACTATTTCTTCACTTTTCTCCCACAATTAACACTGAGGGTAATTCTTAGTCTGCATATGTTCATTAGCGCCGCACTTCACCGCCACCCGACAAAAGGCCACTCCTTATCTCCCCTTCACCTAAGACCCCGGGCTTTGGCCTTTCACCCTCTGTTAGGTTTTGGCAATAGCCCAATTTTGTAAAAAGATAATTAGTATTCCCTGCTGGACACACAAAATTAATGCAGCATCTTAAATTATATGCCAAAATATTATCCAAAATAACTATTAAATCAAATGCCAGTTGAGGAATAACCTTAAGATTTCATTGTACTTTTTAACGCAGCCCTCAACAACACTTTCAGACTCAATTCGATACGTCTAATTTAACACTGAGAGGAAAAATAAATGTGATATTGTCCACTGTAGCTTTTTATTTCTCTGTTCTTACAAAAATGAGTAGTTAAAGTAGCAATATGTAAGATTTTCAAGTCATCATTAAATGGCCTTAATATGTAAATAGGCTTTGATAAACCATGCTCTTTATGAAAACTTATTTAACTGATGACAGGAGTTCAGCCGAGGTATTAGAATTTAAAAAATAGTTATACAGCCCCTAAATTATTGTTTTACCAATCAGACCGTCTGTGAACTCACCGTGTCGAGCTAATCTCACTTGTAAAGTAACATGTGGTCGGAGAACTATGATTCTCAAATGATTAATGACAAAACAAGGAATCAAATGAGAATTTATTTTAGGTGACTTCATGAAGTCTTCTAGACATCTTGTCTATTCAGATATTATGGTCCCAGCTGGATTCGTCTGCATATCTGGCAACCTGAGTCAGGGAGAGTGGGAGAGGGTTGCAGTACCACGTTTGGCCAGATTTGTACATATCTGCTCCTTTAATTGTAACTGAACATAGTGTACATATGTACAGTATTTGTTTATTATACAATAAATCCATATAAAATGGCATTAACATTATTAACATTCTGTCTTTCTGTTTAGACTCAGACCAAAACTATTGTTTGTTACAGATGAGGGACATTTCAAAACAGTCTGAGGCAGAATGCCATTAAATCTGTTTGATTTGCTCACACCATTACTTTTGGGCACAACCAACATGAACTGGTAGTGGAAGGGAAAATTAGGTACCCCAGCTTCAGTTTAGCGAGAGCGCTTCGGGAGAAGACACGGAGGAGACTGGGGCTCCGTGGTCCAGCTTCTGCGCTGTATTTTTTGTGTGCACCGGTGACGCAAAGACATGTACACACACTACTAGCAGAGAATAGTTCTGTGCGTGGTCTCGGATATGACGTGACGGCGGCGCCGTTTGCCGTGATCACAGCCGCTGGAGGAACCGCTGTCTAGAGCGCCCGCAGCTCATCATGCAGAGTTCATACAGGAAACAACAGTAAGTGCCTCGCGGTCACGCGTGTATTCTTTTAAAACTTGGATTCCCAGAGGGCCTACTTGCTGTGTCACCATCACACGCATGTGTCCGCGGCATTCTGAGTGTTATTATGGGATGCATGGGCATGCGTCAATCACGTTAATTTTGTTAACGCAAATAATGAAAAAAAAGAATTTACGTGCGTTAATGCAATAATTTTGACAGCCCTAATTTATATATATAAATGATTATGTTCTTGTTTTGTTAAGCACCTTGAGTTGCCTTGTGCATGAACTGTGCTACATAAATAAACTTGCCTTGCCATGTTGAGACCGGTATGCAAAGGCGATGCAAACTAACGGTCAACATGCAGTATTCTTGGAGACAACATTTTCAACGTCTTCAACAAACCGAACACAGTGTTTTGTAGTAAAAGATTTGTTCAACCTTAGATTTGAAAATAAACGAATGAACCCAAAGGGCAAAAAAACAGGTCCCAAACATTCCCCTCTCTGAAGAAGTAGGAAGTGCACCGTGGATGAGAACACGCTTGCTGCCATGGTGATAGCCCAATGCTCGGTGCAACAGCAGCACATTAACCCCTCTTGACCCTCTATTCTCACCTGTGATAAAAGAGGAGGAAAAGGAGGGAGGAGCTGCCCCCTTTCTACCAACGCGCACTTTGGAGTGCCCGGGCACCAGCAGGCCCTTGAGAGCCTGCGGTCATTAGGAAAGCTTTATACTTGGAGTGCCACAGAAAGAGACGAGAGACTGGAAGATAATGTATGGTCAAGGCTGCAGACTTGTGGGCATGGGACGAGGAGTTTTCAGACACAAGGACCACGCAAGACAGCTGCTGTGGTCTTTGTGTTTTTCTTTCAATCACTGCTTAAAGGGGTAAGAATTAGATTTAGGGAAGTGCCGGGAGTGTACTCTGCTGACTTACAACAGCGGACAGTTACCTCTTACTGACCGCCTTTTGTGTGTCACTTGGACACCTTTAAAATTATGAAGGGTAAAAGCACTTTCTGTCTTTATAGATTAGGAGGTCCTTTATTTGTCCTACAGAGGGGAAATTTCAGTGTTGCATCAGCAGTTACAGAGCAGTAGGAATGAGGAGCACACAGCACAAGATAAATGAACAATAATGTTACACTAAATAAAATTAGATAAAAATCTCTAACTATAGCATGAGGAAGAAACAAGTATAACATCTTTATTTTTAGCATAATGAGTACAAAAACTCAAAGACTTTAGTATAATAAAGAAGTATAAAATCTCTACATTTAGCATAATAAGAAGCAAGTATAAAGTAATGTGTATTCTAGTGCAAGTAATATAAGCTGCCCTAAGCTGCCCTTTGGCAACGCACCCTCTGCTTGTAGTTCAGATGTGTAGATTACTCCGCAAGTAGTTCCGCCACTTTGTCGCTACCACTGTCTCTGCGAGAGAAGCTATCGGAGCTAGCCACGCTCAAAAAACACAAACACCAATCGATCAACACATTTAAAAGTTAATCGGAGAATACATTATACATATACATTCTTAATACACATGCACAGAGGCTTTCAGAAGTATCTGTTAAGGTTCTCATGTCAAAAATACTGTTTTAAAACTGTTTTTCAATCGCGAAAAACCCGAAAGTAGATTCCGGGACATTTTAGGAACATTTGCAGAGGATCGAATTATGGATTTAGTTTAAGTTTATTATCCCTAACGTATGTATACATCTGTACATGTTAGCAGCATGAGGGTCTGGGACACAGTGACAAAGTAGAGCAACACTGGACACATGAGGTTCTATATGACATTATTAAAGTTATTATATCATTATTATACACATTTAATCCCTGGATGTCAAACGAAATGATCCCATATAATAACGCCATTGAGTCGCAAATACGTCAAGACCCAAAACCATGAAAGAAGAACATGCTGCGGCTCTGTGAATGTGCCCT